CGTGCTTGCTTGCTTGCTTGCTTGCTTGCTTGCTTGCTTGCTGGCTGGCTGGCTGGCTGGCTGGCTGGCTGGCTGGCTGGCTGTCTGTCTGTCTGTCTGTCTGTCTGTCTGTCTGTCTGTCTGTCTGTCAGTCATTGCGTGCTCTTGTGCGTGTCTGCGCGCTCGGTGTGTGTGTGTGTGTGTGTGTTTGTGCGCGTGGTCCGTCGTCCGTCCGTCCGTCGGTCGGGCTGGCAGGCTGGCTCGCTGGCTGTCTGTCTGCGCGCATGTGCGCATGCGCGTGACAGCACTTCGTTGTATTTGAGCTCGCGGAATTGTGAAATTGTGACTGTGTTGAGTCCTCTCTCGCAAGGAGGTTTTGGCATTTGCTGCTATGGCCAGGCTCTTTTGGTGTTCGACGAGCCCGGCTGCAAAACACAAAGCCGTATCATCCAAGCCTCGGAAACAGCCCAAACTATTCTACAGTTTTCTGCGCAACACCGAAAGGGTTTGAGAAAGGCAGCAATCATTTCAACTGCTCGAGCCTCCACCTCCAAGTAGGCTGGCGCTTGACCGAAGAAGATGTAGGATTTCTATGGCTGCGGGCAAACACGCGGCACGTCCATAACCGCAAAGCCGGAAGCATAAACCGCCATGGCGTCCCAATGTTGCTCCGGAAGCTAAGGACTATGCTGCCCAATCTCTTTGGCTGCAGCGTTTCGATGCTCGCGCTGCAGCCGTGCAGTCGGCATGTTCCGTTCGGGGCCCAAAACGACCAAGTCCCTCAACTGCGTAGTTGTGGAGGTAGTTATGACAAGCACAAAAGCACACCTACATACACAGACACAATCAATATATATATATATATATATATGTATGTATGTAGATATATACATTTATAAACATATACATGTATACATATAAATACACACATATAGATTTTTCATTTGATGTTGATGTTAGTATGATTAATACTGTTCACAGTATCACCAATATCGATATTAATATTGAGGTTAATTTTATTGCTAATATGAACATCTTGATATCAGTAATGACATTGATACTGATACTACTGTTAGTATTTGATACGAAGATTATTATTGTTTTATTAATATTGGCATTAATATCAATGAATCAATACTAAGAATACATATACATACTCACACATGTCAGTATATATATATATATGTACATATATGTACATATATATGTATATATATATCAAGAAAGAAAGAGAGAGAGAGAGAGAGAGAGAGAGAGAGACAGCGAGAGAGCGAGAGAGAGAGAGAGAGAGAGACACACACACACACACCCACACACCCACACACCCACACACCCACACGCCCACGCGCCCACACGCCCACACGCCCACACGCGCACACGCCCCCACACCCCCACACGCCCCCACGCCCACACGCCCACACGCCCGCGCGCACGCGCGCACGCGCACACAAACGCGCACTGAAGATTCAGAGTGGAGTACGCCCGAGTCCTTTTGCATACCCAAACCTCTGCGATGTGGGTTTCCGCCAGGCGGCACGAGTAAGGAAACGTTAATTAAACCCGACAGCTACAGTCCCTCCAGGCCTTACATGAATGGCGAGTTCGGGCATTTCTGGGCATGGTTCATCATCATCACCACCAGCAGCAGCAGCAGAAGCATGTGATAGCAACTGCAATAGGGGCAATAGGGGATAATACCACTGCTGCTAACTGAAGGTTGAATCCTGATAACGCAGCAGACACAAGTTTGTGGCAGCCAGGGTGGAGACTGGGTTGACGTTCTGCGTGGAGACAACCTCCTAGGTGGACAGTGGGAACAGGTGCAACCCTCAGCTGTGCGTCTGCATGAACAGCCATCGAAAGCTGTTTGCTGGGGCAGGGGACATGACTTGCTGCGTGACCGGCTATCTGACGAATTGCTGGATAATGGCATTGGTTTCCTCGCGTTAGTAAGAGACAGATTTGTTCCTTGCCTGCCAATTCGAAAGTGGCGGATTTCAAAACTGGCGACAGAGAGAGAGAGAGAGAGAGACTTGAAGGGGCACTTTGAAATCTGTCTTGTGAAGGTGCACTTCACTCGCTGCGCCCCTCTCCCCGCACCTGCTTCAGGGACGGTCAGGCCAGGTGCGTGAGTTCATACAAACATCAGACAGCAGGACGGGAGGTGGAGACTGACACAATCTCAAAAGGAAGATGAAGATGGCGACGATGTTCTTGGACCCAACGCACGGTTATACCACGACATTAAAGTCAAAGTAGGGCCATAGTCGTAGAAAGGGGAGACTCAGAAGATCCTGGGCCTGGGCTCGGCAGAGCCCGGATTCCGGGGTCTGTCCAGCAGCTCCCAGAATCGCCACGACAGGGGGCCGGAACAAATAGTAGTCCCTAACTTAAGTGTACTGCAACACTATAAACAAGATCGCCCCGCTCCCCCCAAGAAACAACTACTCTGGGTATCAAGGCCAAAGGCCCTTGTAGTAAACTGTTGGACCCTCCCCTCCATGGTGTGGCCTTCAAGGTCTTTCGACCTGCATCTGAGGCGAACTCCCCAGGAGCCCGAAACCCCTGCCCTCCTGCCCACCGGAGAGCGTGCCGTGACATGCGTGGCAGGATGACCAACGAGGGCATCTACCCCAGTGAGGCGACCTTCACCTGTAAAGGCGGCTGCCAAGCAGAGAAAGACCCGGATACATTTTCCTTACAGGTAGGGTTGGATCAGACTGTTTTTTGGAAGTGTGAGACGGGGTTGAGTGGTAGAAGCCCGCGAGATCTGATAGAAACCTTGCCAGTCTTACGTAATGTTTGAAGACTTGCCTGCCTCCTGTAGGGATTCGACCGATGACTGGCAGCGATCGGTCCGTTTGTACACCCGCCGACGGCTGAGTTTTTTGAGCCCTGGAGTCCAAGAGCTGCAGTAAAGTCTTCCGACGCTGGCACCAGGACGGATCTTGGTCCATGGAGCCCCCGGTGTGCTGGGAAGCCATTCACTTCATTGCTGCAGCTGTGTTCGTCGCATGGCGGAAATTGTGGATGGTTGTTTCGAGATTCGATGTGAAAGCTATGTCACGACTCGCTTGTAGGTGTGACGAAGCAACCAGACCGGAAACAGCCACCCCTGCCCTGCCCCCAGCATGTGGGTCTTCGCCACATGCCCGCAGGTCATTGGGATGGATGTCTCCGCCTTCCTCCTCTACTACAGGTGCCTCAGAGAACAGAAACTGGACAGAGTAAAACGCGGCGTGCTTATACGGAAAAGAGAAGATTAGGATTCAGTACGATTGTAACCTTCCGATGTGATCTCCGCCGCTTACGATGCATTTCGAAGCTCCAGTGCTGATTGACATTGACCCCCAATGCAGGTGCGTGATGGTACGGAAGCCGGCACCCCTACGGCCGGACTCGCTGATTCCTCAGGCCACGCTTGGCAGATTCCCGATCCTGACCCAACCCTACCTCTCTTCGTGCTTTGCCTCGAAGTCGCTTCCTGTGGTCTGAACTAAGCCCAATCCCTCCGAGAGATTCGACCCCAAGGCCTCATACAAGAGAGCCTTCACAGCACTTTTGAGGAGCTTCTGAGCTTTGGTTCAGGCGTTCAGTTGTGGCTGTGACTCTGGCAATCGAGAATCGAGCTTTAGGGTGACTTGGGGAGGCGTCTCGGTGGGAAACGGCAGTCGTGAGCGCGAGATCAGTTCGCTGGAAAAGGCGGATGACAAGGTCGACATTCAAGAAGCAAGCTTGTAAGGTTCGTGGCATTGAGGATCGCCAATGCTGAATGTCGACAGTCGTTTGGACATCTTGGAGGCAGTTGAAGGTCAGGCATACTAAAGTAAAGACCCTTGGCGATGGCGACGACGACCACCACGACCACGACCACTACTGGTAGCATGACCGCGACGACTAGCATGGCCACCACCGCCACCACCACCACCAGCCCAGTCCGTGCTTTGGCCATGTTCTTCTACCTCCCTTGGCTCTTTAAGTGCACTTGGAGAATCAGAAAGGCTCCCATCCCAGCTTCATTGAGATTACGGCAAGCTCGCTTCTGAGACAGGACTACTTGGGCAATTGGAACAGCGATTTGGTGGGCATCTTGTCGCAAGTTCCGCAGCTGTCTCTGCAGGAATCCGTGTTGTTCATGGAGTTCAACTCAGTTTGTTGCAGGTCAAGGGAAGTACATGCATGTTGTCGTCGTCCGGTCGATGAAAGACAGACACCCAGGAGCAAGTCGGAGTAAGCACCGCAACCACATCCTAGTTGGGAATCTACCGGCCTTTCTTTGAAGGCGTGGCGTGCTGCCCCATATTGGTATGAAGATCCAGGAACAGACGGTGCCTGTCGTGAAGTCTTTGGGAAGTCAGCCAGGAAAAACCCTGCGAACCTGAGGTGGCTGCTCTGCCGACATCTCCTACGGAATGACCTTTCCGCAGCTCCGGTGCAATTATTTGCTGAGCACGCGTGACATTCCAACGTTCCAAGGCACCATGCGATTCATAGCCCTCAAGAAGTGCTGGCGCACGGATTTTCGAGCTTCTTTCAAAAGGTTGGGTGTCAAATTACAAGCCACGGTCACAGCGGACCAACCTCACAAAGCAAAAAAGGGCAATGTTTTGTAGAGACTGCTCATGGCCTCACAACCGTCGCTACAAGCTAGTACTTGTATCATTCTCCTATCAAGACTGATTAAGGCCGCACATGTTCAGCCTTGAAAATGCAGACACAACAAAGCTGAAAACTATTTCGGCTCAATACATCAATACATCAAAGCGCGGCTGCCATGGAGGTTTGCAGGCAGCATCGGCAGAGAGGCTCTCGTAGTGCAAGGTTTCCTGCCGTAGTCCGAGATGCTGAAACCATCTGAAACCAGCTCCATACCCTCAAGCCGTCGACACGAACCACAACCACGCCAGCTTTACGTTGCAGTGAAGCGCCAAATCTCGGTGCCCCAGAGCAAAAAACCTTCATCGCTTTGGGACCCGTTGAAAGACGCATGCATAAGCCAACAGCAGCCGAATCTTCAAGTGGCCGTGCAGTTACAAAATGTTAGTCCTCGAACTAAGGATTAGGACCTAAACAGAAGCCAGCATTTTCAAGCGCAGCAAACACCTTAGCAGAAAACTAACTTAAGTGGTTGACAACGAGCAGCAAACCCATTCGAAAGGAGTTAGCAGTTAGCGACAGCAATCGAGAAGGAGCAGCCAACCGCCCGCAAGGAACTAAAGCAGATGCGAAAGAGCGCCGAACCGCTCGAGAGGAAACCGAGCAAAAGACAACTTCAGCAAACTGCTCCAATGGGACTACACTACTGTAGGACCTGAGAAGAAGGAGCAGACCACTGCAAAAGCTGCAAACCGCTCGAACTTGACCAGAACGTTTGGCAAAGACCAGCAAACCGCAAGCAAGGGACGAGAGCCTGTGACAGACAGCAACATGAGGTGCGAAAGGGGCGAGAGCTCGTGAGAAAAGGTAGAACAGCTCAAGTAAGGCCAGAGACTTCGAAAAAGAGGAGCAGATCTCGAAAGAGATCACAGCATCGGGGCCGCAAGCCGCTCGAACGTTGAGGAAAGGCGCACACAAGTGTTTAGCTCAGCTACGCTCGTGAAAAAAGAGCCGCAACCCGCTCCAAAGGGACCAGAGCATGTGAGACTCAGCAGACCGCTCAAGAGGCACGAAAGGGTTTGACCAACGGTAGCAACGTTGAAGCAGAATGGAGCATTTTGACGAAGAGTAGCATACCGCTCAAAAGGTATTGGAGTATGTGAGACGAAGCAGCGAAAGGCTCGAAAGGGACCAGAGCATAGCATGTGGGAAAGAGATGCCAACAATTGGAAAGGGATGGGGTGGCTTGAGAAGAAGGGACTGCTCGAAAGGGACGAAAATCGAAAACGTTTCATAAGGAACAAACCAAAGGGCCTGGGAAAGAGCAAGGAATTAGAACGTTGGACAAGCCAAGTTGAGAAAGAGGAGCAAGCCGCTGGAAAGCGGTTGGAGCACAGGGACTAGAGCAGCTCCGAAAGAGGAACACAGCCCTCGAAAGCGGTTGGAGCGAAAAGAGAGTAGCTGCTCGGAAGGGACAAGTGACCAGTGTTCTGAGAAACGGCAGCAAACTGTTCCAAAGGGACCATGGTATTTGATGAAGAGGAGCACACGCTGCGAAAGGGATTCCGTGACTAGAGCTTGTTGACAGAGCGGCAAGCCGCTCGCAAGGGGGGAGCAGTGGAGAAAGAGCAGCAAACCGCCCGAAAGATCACAGAGGATCCATGTGAGGGAAGCAGCATACCGATCTTGAGAAAATGTGGGAGCACTCGAAAGGGCTTGTTGTAGTCTGGAGCTTCTGAGAGTAAGAAGCAAACCACTCAAAATGGCTAGTGCAGTTCAGACTGAGGAGCAATTCGCTCGAAATGGATTGAAAAAGGAAAGGGTTCGAGCCGGACTTTGAAAAAAGCCGCAGGCTGCACGAAATGGCTTAGGGCACTTCCCAAATTGCTGGCAAAAGACTAGATTTTTCAAGAAAAGGAGCAAACCGATCGAAAGGGATTCGAGCATTAAGCCCAAACCCACAATTCCTGCCCCAAACCTCTGACAGTCTGACGATGGTGGTTTTGTTTGGTGTTTTATTTTCTTCCCAGCGTTCACTGAAACCTATGCGGGGCAGCATCAATCAAAGCACATATCCAGATGCACCCTGCTCCAGTGGGTCGCTTGCCAGATGCCTGTGCATTTGAGGCTTTGCCCCTGTCGGGTGGCAGCCACCTGGCAACAGGCCGGGTTGATTCCTTTCCAGCGGCCCGGCAAACAAGGGTTATGGTGCTAGACAAGATGCCGTGCAACTCAGGGGCTTGAAGCCGTTGAGTAGTGAGCTTGAACAAGTTTATCCAGAAAGTCGGATGGGGTTGCGTTTGCGGTTTCAGGTGTCTCATCGGGTGTCCTATAACTTGCGGGATAGGCTGTTTTTTTTGTGCTACAGGATCTTCGCACATGAGCTCTGGACAAAGGCAACCCCGGGAGCAACCCCATGCCGCCTTAAAGTCTCTTTCGTTTGGGGCGCTCCCGGAGATATGGGGTCTCTCGCTCTGAATCGGCTGGCAGCAAGCTTAGCCCCAGGTATGGAGTCCTGCTCCCACACTTTTGCTGCTGCTGCATGCCTTGCATCGGGACCTACTTCCGCAGCATCTTGCGACACCGTTTCGCCATCAGGAGCTTCTGCGAAAGTTGGAGCTGCCAGCGTTTTAAAGCGTATGACAGCCTCATAGAAGCCCCAAATACTACAAGTAGGATCCTTGAAATGAGGACACTCAAATTAAGCATCCCAAAAGCCAGAGAGATCGCTGTGAGTCGACAGCTAGATGGGCCGGTGGTCTGAAATCTGAGCCCATCAGATATCCCTTCGGCTTCAGGAGGAGGAAGAGAGTCCTGCCTTTCAATATGCGCTTCAAGTGAAAACCGGGCAAGCCTCGCAATCTTTGTTTTGAGACTTCGTGACTTGACGGCATTGTGCACAAAGTCTCTCTTCGAGCCCTGAGTCTTCCGCCATGTATCCCAAGCCCAGTCCTTAATCTCAAACTTTGAGTTTCAGGCATGCCGCTCCCTGAGCCGAGAAGGATGGGTCATAAGGGTCCTTAGACCGAACCGTGCACATGACACTGCAAAGCCCAAGCTTCGAAGGAGATCCAGCACCACGCTGGACTGCGTGGCTTGGCACTCTGGCTGCATCTGAATGCTCTTCATCAACGATTCGGGCTTGGAGATTGGGAGTTTGGGATGGGAGACCATCACAGTTCATTCTCTGCAGGCACTTCGAAGTGATTCTTGCAGCCCAGGACGGCGCTGAGTTGCTGTGCCATGGTGCATCTCGGCACTCAGGGGGCAGCTCTTGGCCCCAAGACACCCTGAGCAGAAGACCAGAGTCCTAGGGCCTAGGGATTAAAGTCCTGTCTCCTTGAGGGCTTGAAGCTCTGCGACGGGATTGCGGAGCTGACATCCCAGTGAGTTTTATAGCTCGTAACTTGTAGCCAAAAGAGCAGTCAGACTCGTTCAAGGAAGCGGTGATTTCTGGGTCGGGGCAGTCTGCTTGGGCCTTTGGGAACCGAGTGCAGCTTTTCGGAAGTCTTTCAGGCTTGGTTGCGGGGATGCCAATTGTGTCGCCGTGTTTGGAGCCTTAGTGTCCCGGTTGATGCTTCTAAGGCAAGAAGCCAAGATGGTGGATGCCATGTGCGTGCCTGGCTTAGAAGAGGTCGTTGTGAATGACAAGAGAAAGGCTCCAAGTTGAGAAGGTGCGGACAGAAGCAAGCTGTTGTTCCGCATGCCGGGGTGTCAGAGGTCTCTAGCGGCTGATACATGGTGTGTATGTATGTATGTATGTATGTATGTATGTATGTATGTATGTATGTATGTATGTGTATACATTCGTGCGGGGTTTAGGCCGGCTTTCCGAGGTGGTGGCACACGAAGAGGCCCGGGCCAAGGACGCCGCGGGAAGTCGGCTTCTGTCTGAGTCTTTGTATGCCTCAACCAAAGGTTTCAGTTTCAGATTTCAGAATTCGGGGTTCAGTGCCGGAGGGCTGCAGGGTTTCGAGGCTCAAGGCTGTAGGTAGCAGTTGGGTTTTCGGCTCGGGTACGATGAGGGACTGATGCTGCGGATGTCAAGTGTGAAGCCCAGCTCAGCTGTGCAGTATGGCTTTCTGTTGTATATGCTGCGGTGTGAAGTTTGCAGTTGTCTTCAGAGCACAAGCGTGCTGTGGGTAGTGGTGGCGTGTGCTTGGCCCTCAAGCCTCAATCCTGGTGTCGGGGTAACACCTCCCTACTCGTACCGGCCCCCCAAATATTGAGGTTCGAAAAGCTGTGGAATACGTGTTAGTCTTGTGTGTGTATGGCCAAAAATGATTGCAGTGCAATCCTCAACAATTCAGGCAATGTGGGCATACTGAATACAGTACCCCTCAATGTCTGCTTAATGCTCCCGTGCCCCAGGAGGCGGCAGATCAGAGGAAGGCGATTGGAGGGCTTTGGTTGGGGTTTCGGGGCTTCGGATTTTGAGGTTTCGGCATGCTCCAGCGTGAAGTCTGAGATGCTAAGTCCAACTAACAGACAGTCTAGGGTTTAGGGGCTTAGGGTTTAGGGTTTAGGGCTGCACACCGGAATTCAAGGAAATCAACATTACCACAATCGAAGTCATTGCGACAAAAAGGCCGTACCAGCAGCGTGATGCGGCCATCAGCAACGGCAACGACCACAGCAACGTAAGCGAAGGACTAGGCAAACAGCTGGGAAGGACATCATGAGAGAGAGATAGAGGGAGGAGTAAACGTCTCCGAAGCAGAGCAAATCGTCTGGGAGAGATTGAGAAGCAGGAACAAACCGTTCGAGAAAGAGTTTGGATTTTAGCATGATGTGGCATGTCGTGTTTGTCAACTTGTCTCGCTTTATTCCAAAATTGTGTTTTCTCTCTCTCAGTGTTTTCCATCACGACAGCTTCTTCAGCGCGCTCCCAAATGTCTGCCCCTGTCAAAACCTCTGGTCCGCTGCGAAGTATCCCCTGTGAAGCATGTCTATCTCTCTCTCTCTCTCTCTCCAGCCATTGTTGACCAGCTTGTTCCTTACTCACAACTGCTCGAGTGCCTCGTGAATGTTTGCCACTGTGTCAACAATATTTGTGTTTCTTCCCAGGGGTTGTCCTCTCCTTCAACTTTCCTGGCTCTTCTCGGAACGTCGAAACGTGTGCTCTCTCTCTCTCTCTCTGAGAGGCATCGGCCTGCGCTCTCAACTCACCGTATACTCACTTTGCCCTGACCCCATCATATTTGGCCTTATCTGTCTCGACAGTTCGGCCTGAGTGAACCCTTCCTCAGATAGCTCAGTTACAGGAATGTTGACCTAAGCCACGGCGTCTTGTGGAAGTCGTTGCTTGTGCGCGTGGACAGGAGGGAACTGCTGATCACTGCCACTACTGCTAATACGCGACAGCTACAGCTGCAACCGCTGTCACGGCTGCTACGGCTGCTGCTGCTGCTGCTCCTGCCCCCGCCCCTGCCCCTGCTCCTGCTCCTGCTCCTGCTGCTGTTACAAGTACTGCTGCAAGGGCTGCTCCTGCTCCTGCCCGTGCCCATGTGTCTGTTCCTGCTACTGCTTCAAGTGCTGCTGCTGCTCCTGCTGGCTCCGGGCTTGAATGCTGAAAGCCTCTCTTGAAACCTTCAGTGCTCCTGTTTTTGAAGGGCGCGTGTCATTGGATTCCCATGTTTTCGCATGTTACGATGAACAAAAATCTTGCAGTTTGCCAGCACGTGGGCCTGATTTCTGTTGTTTTGAGGCTACGCCCGAACAGGCTTGCAACACCATGTGTCCATGGGGACTCCCAGGAATTGCAGACATTTGGACAGTTGAAACATAAACGTTTCACGCGGGACCCGAGAGAGAAGTTGAGAGGGAGGAGCAAACCCGATTAGAGAGCAGCAGACAAGGGCCCGAGCATTCCAAACACATTTTGGATAATTCAGAGATTAGAGTAACCAGTAAATGTGCGACAAAAGATGACAAAAGCCGACGAAGCTGAGGCACAAACCGTTGGAAAGGAGCAGTTGAGGCACGAGGAGGAGGTCACGAGGTCACAGTAGTAGGAGGGGGACCTGTAGCGGGAGTGTCTCTGGTAGCCTTGCTCTCGGAAACGAGAAGAAGCATAAAGGAAA